TCATCTTTAATAAGATCAGATTAATTGTATTTATTTTTAAATATGTTAAAAATTAATAAAATTATTTTTTCCTTATTCACTATTAATATGAACTTAACTTATAAAAACCCAGTGCTTGTATTCAATAATTTGTTAATTTTAGTGTTTAATTTTGGCTTCCAAATACTCTATCCCTTCTAAAATAATTGTTTCTTTTTATCAAATTTTAAATCAATTTAATCTAGATTAAGTTAAAAATGATTATTATTTTAAAACAAACATAATACTTTCTCTATTCCAAAATCCAAAAATGTTTTTCAAATAAATTTACAAAAAAATAAAGTAAAAATACCTATTAAAGTATTTATATTTATTAATAAATTCTCTTATATGTTGAAGGGTATTTAATTAATTTTGTAAATATATTTATACTTTTTTTTTATAAGTGGACTTAAAAATTTACAAGTTCTGATTTTAAATAAAAAATTTATTTAATTTGTACTTTAAGATATGTGTTAAGAGTATAGTAAATATATAAATTTATAATTAATTTATATAAAAAATATAGAAGTTAATATATATTTTAACATTATTAACATATAAATAACTTTAATTGATTAATTAATAAAATTAAAATTAAAATTTATATTTTTAATAAAAATTAAATATAAAAAATATATTTATTATATTTTTATCTTATATATTAAAAGTAAAGAATAAAAAAACCTTAAATAAATAAAAAAACTAGTGTCCCAAGGATAAAAAGAAAGAAAGAGAAAGAATTAAAGAAATCAACGGTTGCAAAACAAAATAAAGAAATTAATGTGGAGAAATGCCGTACGCATTTGGAGGTGATATATAGTGTTATCACGTAAAAGATGGACCACGGAACGGATTGACCGAAACCAATCTAGTAAAATATGGGTTGGATTGGATAAAATTTAATATTACGTTGATTGATTTTAGTCCGTAATTTATTGAAACCAAAGTACCATAAATTGGGTCTAAATACAGATCAAACCATAAAAATCATCCGCACTTGGGACATACGGCCTAACAACTCTAAGTCGCTCATAAGTGCATTCGCTGGTTTCAAATCTCTCATCTCAAATGATAAACCCGTCCAAAAAAAAAAAAAAAACCATAAAAATCATCCAAGTTGTACTCCAATGTGTGGGGATATGTTCAAAATCCTCTTAACAAATGCATAGCTTTCGACCGACCTGTTCTACCTCAATTATTGCACGTTTAAATGTCTTACTCACTATTGCAAACCTTGGGTAATGCATTATTTTGGACACACTTGTTCTGCCTCAATTATTGTACGTTCAAGTGTCTTTACTCATTATTGTAGGCCGTGACTAATTCATTGTTGTAGACCCACTGTTCTACCTCAATTATTTTACGTTTTTTTTTATAAGAGTAATGATTATAGAAAATTAATACGAATTAATTGTTAGCAATTAGAGATTTGATCTCTACAATAGGTGAATGTTTCACCTCTTTAAATGAGGTGCGTAACCATCAAACTGCTTTTTTATAGAGTTTATGATGGTGATAGATCTTAAATCATCTCATCTAAATACTTAAGACTTGAGGTCAAACCATTGTACCTAAAGACTTGGGGTCAAACAATTGTACCTAAAGGAACTGTTAAATTATTTTACGTTTAGTCTTTCTCATTATTGTAGGAATTGACTAATGCATTATTTTGGACCCACCTGTTCTTCCTCAATCATCGTAGGATAAACTTCAGTTTGGACCCGCATCCCCTACCCCAATTATTGATTTTAACTACACTAAAGTAGAGATTAGGTTCTCTTGATATTAAAACGTTCAATTCCATTTTTATAATAAACACCATTCAACTAAGATCAAAATTATGTTATAGGGATAACACATTATAATTCTAAAATTGATTGATCAAGATCATGTTATTGTTTTATCTCTTGTAAGAAAAATATATTATGTTTTACTTATTTTATAATTATGATTAAGTATTATAATATTTAAAGGAATTTTTAATTTATGCATTAAGAATATTTTTTTATTATATATATAATATAAAAATTAATATTAATATTAATAATTAATT